GTTGATTGAGAAACACTGCAGCGCCGTCAAAAGATTATCTGGCTCCGGGCGGTGGCGTCTCCGGCAAGGTCAGCGGCCTTGGCGGTGGGATTGGCAGCGAGGAGGAGTGAAACCAAAGGAAACTCTGGGATTAGGGTAGAAGAAGACTAACAAAAAAACATCGACTCTTTTATGTCGGGCAATACAGCACTTTATTGGGCCATTAGGCCCAAGATTTATCAACCTTGAAGGTCCACTGGACCAGATGATTGGGCTTACTAGTCTTTGGCCTTGGTGGAAAGATGCATGTCCATCCTGGACTTAAATAAACGCTTGAGGAATTTACACCCCCATCCCTTCATATTTCATATATATTACACTTACAAACCCCTTTCACTTTTATTTATAAAATAGCTAAACAAACATAATAATATTACAAATATACCTAATATGATGTGTTAGCAAATATAACCGTTCATCAGAATTTTTGCCCAATATTTTGCTCTCTCGCGTCGTCAATAGCAAGGTTCAAAACCCTTTCTTCTCTGATCAAAATTTCACACACATTAGAGAAATACGAGCCAAAAATTCCTCCCCATCGCTGCCTTTACTCGCTCGTCGTCGCACCAGTGGCTCTTCGCCGGGATAAGAGAGAAGTTGGGTTCAAAACCTTTTAAGATTTGGGATATACAAGCTTGTACTTTGACATTCTAGGTCTGTATGCTCTCATCTATTTTTATTTTTTTGTTTCATTTTTTTTTTCATGGTTTAAGAAATAAATTTTCTGTGTTGTGTACAATTATTTTTGTGATTCTTATGCGCGACAGATGCTTGTTGATAGTTTAAAAATACTTGCTATGCCATTAGAAGTGGTTAGTGTCGTTCAAACTTATAATTGTCATTTTCACTTTATATACTGGGATTTTTGGACAGGCTTCTGCTGCTAAGGATGCACCATTTTCTGTGACCAGAGTTACGTGGAGTACATATGGAACTTTTTGTGGTAAAATTGCCTTAGCATTTCGTGTCCTCAATTCTGTCGGCATCCTCAGTGAGGTTGCGGCTTCGCCATGGTTGGAGGAGATGGTTGGTTGGGTGTGAGAAAATTGATGTTTGGTTTTTCATTATACAAATTAGTGTATGGTCAGTATATGTACGGTATATGTACAGTATATGCACATCTTAGGAATATGTGCAATTATTGTACATATTAATTTATGTTTGGTATATTAGTTATATTACCATTTAACAGTTGATATATAATATGTATATTTCAGGTATATATCACTGTCATTGTGTCCAACCCATTTCCATTTTGTCATATTTTTTCTGTTTTTTCCTCTCCAAGTATATGGCTAGTTGATTTAAAGTACATGAGATACTTTATTCCATGAGTAGACACATTTGTGTAATGATCTTATCTCAAGTGTATTGAAATTTTTACTCTTTGTCAAGTTATGCTAAGTAGTGTTGGATTTATATCAAGTTTATGCTAAGTAGGTGTTAGTTTTATATCAAGTATATGATAAGTATATGACAATATGATATAGTATTAATAAACTAACCAGATTCATATATTTTACACAGTATATACTTATCATATAATTTTGGACATGCTTCAATTATGTAACAGTTGGTATATGATCAATATATTTCAAGTATATGTCATTGTTAGTGTGTCGGGCGTGTTTTCTTTTTTATTTATTTTTTTTCTGTATCAATAGAAATTATGTTTTCAAATTTAAATAGAATATCTTCCATCTTCAATTCTGAAATCTTGCGCTACAAATATGAAATGGTTATTCCACCTACTTGTAACTGCTTTTAGGCATGATTGTAATTAACTTTTATCTATTAGGTATACACACAATTAAATTGGTATGAATTGTATTGTTGCAATTACTTCAAAATCGTGTAGCATACACAAAAATTTCCCTAAAGGCTTTTATTGTATCAACATGTATTAAATCAAGAGAAATGCTACGTTGTTAACGTACAACTGATTGACAACACAAGTGGAAACATTCACTTGTGTATTTTGTGTTTTTATTTTTATAGATATCTAGGTTGACTATGTATCATTTTTCTTAAATCAATAAAGGCATTGATTAGTATACAAAATAGTTTTGAATATTAATATTTTTTTGTCTCATAATATATAACAATTTAATATATTATTTATATATTTATTTCACTCATTATAAAATAGTTGTCATTTTAGATCATGTTTATAATTAAAGATAATAAAATTTAACATATAAATACTACCAATAAATAATACTCACAGAATACTTCTCTCCATCGATCTTCTCTTATTCATACATTGTTATAATATATTATTTTGATTTCAAAATATAATTAGGCTAAAGTTGAAAATTTTGTGGCAAAGATATAACCAACACTTACTTGAAAAAGATTGAAATATATATTATTTTGAAATTAAAAAATTATTTATTTTTAATTCCATCACCGTTGTTTTATTTTTTCTTGTAATTTATAATATTACAAGTATGTTAATTTTTCTATCTAATCTACTAATTTTTCTATAATCGGAAAACACTGATTTAATTTTTGAAAAATCTTATTAAATTTTTTAAAATACTTTAACTTTAATCTGCGGGATGCTTCTACTCAACTTTGATCTTTATCTTTTTATCTATTTAAGCTATCACGCATGCGACCAAGTAAAATTCATTCTAGAATTACGACCATGAACAATACCAAATTAAAGCATGCATAATCTAAGAGTCTGACATCTGAAATAGTAGTCTCAAATCTGAAACACAAATCTGAAATACGAAACACAAGTTCTGAAATACGGAAGCAAATACAAGTTCAAACATCACACATAAGCATCAAACAAACACAAATAATTCGAACATGTTCAGTTATACCGCATGACACGCTTTAACAAAATATCCTGAAGCTTGACCACCACCACATATCAGCTCACGCGCCACGCGGGACTCCGTCACCTGAAAAATAGTTAGTGGGGGCGTGAACATAAATAATTCACGTGCTCCGCTGGAACCGACACTAAATATTCATCACATTTAATCACAAATCATGAAATCAAGATATATATAAAAAAACAAATCGACTAACTATGGGACTATCGGTAATCGGTATTCATGTGCACACTCTAGGGGTCTCCTCCTACAAAATCCAGCCTGAGCAATATGCACCACACCTGGATGCTTGACTTAGGTTGGCCACAATGCACCACTCATCCAAGTCATAAATGGCATCTGACATCTTGAACAAGACGAGATCACTCATGCGTCTCGGTCCATAAATATACTTACACACATACCTCAGACAATATAAGTAATTAAAAGCAATGAGATATACAGTACATGATCCCCACCTGGAAAGCTGAAGAATGTAAATGTTGAAACTGTAATTGCTAGCAGATGGAGGCTCGACTCTCCTCAAGCTACAAAATAATTGACCAAAATATTCTAAGTACTAAGCTTAATCTAAAAACTTGAATCTTATTATATGATCTTACTAGGTTCCCTCGCTCGATTTTAATACTAAATTAAATCACATTTTAGAAAATTTACAAGTTAATATGAAAAATTATTGT